AAATAAATTAAAAAGTCCATGGCTACAAATGAATGGAGGACCAAATACAGAAGCCAGACTTTAAGTAAGATGAGATCAGCTACGAAGGGAGACAGGGTTTAATCCGTTTCATTAAGTTAAGTTTAGTTACTCCTACAACAATGTTCATGTTATCATTTCCATTTTATTTTCCAAAGATCCATAAACACAATGTGAATAACAAGTCTTTCTCAACATAAATAGCTGAGACTCTCTGCTCATTATGTATTCAAATGCATCCTGAAAAATACTCAGTTGTCCGTAACATAATAAAGTGATCATGCACAATCACATCAGATAATTGACCAACCAATTAGTTGTAAGGGGCTTAGAATGACATACAACATCCCAGTCACAGCCTAATCCAGTGTTAGCAGAATTTCCTTGGAATGTAATCTCCATCACCTTGTGTTTTACAAGAAATAAAAGGAAGGACATAAGTGCCATCAAAAATGAAGGAGCTAGAAATGTAGTACATTATTGGAACTCAGAGTCCTTGCAACAAAAAGCTCCTAGACGTGGAAAGGAAGACAGACAGGTCAGTCTGGAATAAAGTGCAACCAGGGTGTTCCTTAGAGACAAACACTGGGAAACTTCCTTGTTTGCTGAATTAGCAGTACACAGGATATTCAGGACTCTTTGCCAATAGCATAATTCAAAGGCATCAATTCTTTTTTGGTATTGTTTGTTACTTAACTTTCAGATAGACAGGAAGCAACAGAAAATACCACAGCTTACAGCAGGTACATCTGAGCCTTTAAACTAACCTAAATCTTTTGTTTTCTGAGTTTGAATTTTTCATTTACTTTCTGTTAATTGTTTTAACATTCTCAAAAACATTTCTAAGCTAAAGTACCATAAAAGTTGATCACTTTCAAAATTCTCAAGACATAATAAATTCTTCTATATACAATCAACATTCTAAAATCCATATTAAATGTAGTGATTAATAAAGGTCTTGAGTCAGCAGTGTTAGGATTAAACCCAAACTCACTACCAGAGTGATTACAGGAAAATAATTTTACTGAAAGTTCATCTTCAGCATACACAAAACAGATGGATATCACCAACTTCACAGAGTCATTGTAGGGGTTAGGTAAATAATGGAAAATAATAAAATAAGACAGTAAATGACAACTTAAAGAGTTACACTATTATCAGACAAACGGCATTGGAGAAGTGTGTTGTCAGGGCCCTCTCCAAAGTGCTGAAGAATAATGACGTCAGTCCAAGGAGTAAGAGGCACCTGATCCAGGCCATGGTCTTTGCAATTACTTACTATGCATCAGAAAGCTATACAATAATTAAGAATGACAGAAAAAGAGTTGATGTATTTTGAGTTGTAGTGCAGGAGAAGAGTATTGAACATTCCATGGAGCACTAAGAGAACAGGTCTGTATTAGAGAAGGAGAAAATAAGTTTCTTTCTGGAGACTAGGATTTTGAAGCTCTGTCTCACATACTTTTGTCTTGTTGCCAGGAGGGACCAGTCCTTAGAGAAGGACATCATGCTTGGAAGAGTGAAGGGAAAGCACAGGATAGGAAGACCTCGGATCCGATGGAATGACACAATAAACTGGGGTGACAGGAGTAGGTGTGTCAGAGTCAGTGAGACTGGCTCAGATAGGGCAGGGTTCAGAGCTATTGCACAAGGAGTCACTATGAGTCACAGGTGATTACGAGTCCATAACAACAATAACTAGCAAAAATAAGGCATTTTTATTAGCACTAAGGATTAAATGCCTCTGAAAACACACTGGTGGGTTAGCTATATGTCAGTTCCAACTCAATGGCACACAATAACAAGGATACAAAGACAAATAAATCAAGATTTCTAACCTCACAAAATTTATTTCCACCTTTCAAGCTAGTACAGTCTTGTAAATGGCCATGTTTTCTCTAAAAAATACTACTAGATCCTGCACTGCAATCACTAAAGGTGAGTAAGGGCAAAGGAACAAGAATTAGTTAGCAAAGGTCATGAAAAACAGAAGCCCTCATCCACCCCTGGTGAGAATGTAAAATTGAGCCCTTGTGGAAAACACTTTGATAGCTGCTGTTGCTGCATGTAGAACTTATGTCCCAGCAATACTAATTCTATTAAAGGTCAGAATTTTTCATTTTCATGGAGTCCAGAATTCTGGATATTTGGAGGTTGAAATGACTAGCATATCATTAGTCTTTGAACCTTGAACCTTGGATAAAGGGTTTTCCTAAGGGATGTTAATGTTTTAACTGGTGAAGAACGTTTCTGCCTTAGGCATTGTGCTGTTTTACAGTCTTATTTATGTGCAACTGAAATAAACAAGCTCCAGAGGAAAGCAGTATCTTTGGATCAATTAATAATGACTTTAATTATTCCTCAAGGTAGTACTGTATGGAATCTTGCAGGACCACGAATTGCTTCATCAATTGTATTCTGTTCCCTCTTGCATGGCAATGTGTAATTATCAGCCAAAGAGTCACAATAATAAGGAATATAATCTTTGAAAGATATTTCTTCTTTGGAACAATTTTGCCTCTCTTATCAGAAGTATAGAATTGCAAATCATACTTTAAGTAAACTTCAATGCATTTCTACTACTGGCTCAAAACTATTTTTACTTTAACATTAGAAATATGCCAAGAAGTTAAAGCAGGAAGACAGAACCAATGCTCACTGCAATACTTTTCACAAACACCAAAAGATAGAAACCAGCAAACTAACAACAAGTGAACAGATACATAAAATGAGCCATAGATAACACATTTACAATGGAATATTAGTCATAGAGAGAAGCAGAGCCCTGGTGCATCATACTATATGAATAAGCCTTGAAAAAACATGCAGAATGAGTAACGTCAAAGACACTAAAAAATTTAGCATTACTAATAGTGGGAGGAAATTTGTGAAGAGTAATGATGTCTGTCTGAGGTGTGCCATAGTTTTTCCAATCACTTGCTATGCATCTGAGAGCTGGACAGTGAATAAGGAAGATAGAAAAATCGATGCCTTTGAGCTGTGGTGTTGGAGAAGAGCACTGAACATCCAATGGATGGCCAAAAGAACAAACAGCTATTATCTCAGAGAGGGTGCAGCTGAAGTGCTCTTTGGAGGTAAGAATGATGAGGCTTCATCTCATATACTTTAGGCATGTAGCTAGAAGGGGCTATTTCTTAGAGAGGGACATGATACTTGGAAGGGTGGGAGGTCTGCAAAGGAGAGAAAGACTCTCAACCAAGTGGATTGATGCACTGACTGCCACAATGGGCCCTCGGGTGTCAGGAAGTGTAAAGATGGCACAGGAGATAGAACAGGGTTCAGATGTTTTGTTCATGGGTTCTCTTAGTTGTACTCGACTTGACTAACACCTAACAACAACAAAATGGGAGAAAAGGGAAATGTTCTACTTAGGAGGCTGGGTGTTTATGTTAGTAAGTGCCATATCTAGAAAACTGTAACATAACTTGACAAATTGCATTAGCAAAGTCTGCTGTCTGAGACCACTCCGAAGTACTGAAGAGCAACGATGTCAGTCTGAAGACAAAGGTGTGTCTAATACAGGCCATGGTATTTGCAATTACCTCTTATGCATTAGAAAGCTGGACAATGACTAGGGATGATAGAAGAAGAATTTATGCCTTTGAGTTGTGGAGCTGGAGAAGAGTACTGAATATACCATGGACTGTGAGAAGAACAGATTCGTTCTGGAGAGGGTGAAGCCAGGCTGCTCCTTGGAGGCAAGGATTCTGAAGCTACAAACTTTGGACATGTTGCAAGGTAGGATCAGTCCTTGGAGAGGGACATCATGTTTGGGTTGACGGAGGGACAGCGCAGGAGAGGAAGACCCTCAATGAGGTAGATTGATTCAGTGACTGGGGTAATAGCAGTATGTGTGTCAGAGACAATAAATTAGCATGAGATAGAGCAGCATTTAGGGCTGTTGTACATAGGGTTGCTATGAGTTGCAGGCAACTAGATGGCACGTAATAGCAACAAAGCAATTTGAAGAATTTGAAGAAGGCAATCACTGTCACCAGGAAAACTGTCTGTAACTTAAACAAGGAGGGATATGTTTCTTGGGCATATTTTCACCTCAATTAAAAGAAAATTAAACTTAAAAATAAAGAGCATCAGGGCTGGCCACAGAATGACAGTGGTGAGAAGTGGGAAACTGAGCAGAGACAACAGTCTGGAGCCAGCACAAGAAAACTCTCACAGCATTGAGCGCTGCAGCATCACCCATCAAATGTGAACATCCTTCCTCTTGTCACCTGACAGGCAAGTGTTAGCTTTTAGCAGAAAAAGTAACATCCTACCTCGATCCTAGAGAAAACCACAACTATTTTTAGGTGTTGCTGTGAGAAACAGATGAAAGCTCCCTGTGCTCAGGTCAGCTCCCCTCCGACTCTGCAGTCACCATGGGTTATCACACACTCAGGAGGGCCCCTGTCTGGGTTCTGGCCTCTCCTGTATCTGATTCCATAAGGTACTGTTACCATCTGTTTCATCCTGCCCCTTTTCACTAGACCAAGAATCCTTTTATTCCCCTTCACAATGCCTAGCACCAAGGACAGTGACCAGCACTGAGCAAATGTTCAACACACGTGTGCTGAAAAGTATTAGCTGCTGTCAACCATTGTACCAGGCACTAGAGACAGAAAAGGTAAAAATACCAGTGAAAACACTGGAAGGCTATATCACCAGCTGTAGAGATATGGGATGGGAAGGGATATTCAGGCAGAATTATGGAAAGGGGTGGGTGCTGTCCAAAAAAATGGAGAAAAACAAGAGAGCCTCAGTCATAAACCACACAAACTTCATAAAGACATGCAGGATATATAGTATTGGGGGGGGGGGATGTAAAGAAGAGAAAGCAAACACTAGTTGAATAGGTAAATAAATGTAAATCAACATTTAAAAAGAACACTAAAAATGTACCTGATAAAAATTAATGTGATTCTATCAAATCAAGAAATTTAGTTTGTCATCAAAGCTCTTACCTCCCTGTGATTCCTTTTGTTGACCCAGGGATATCTGGTACCGGCCGATGCCTTAGCAAGAAAGATCTGGATGGTCTTGAAACCAACTTGCTACGACTTCTCATCGGTGCTAAGCTTGGTGATGATGGAACGTACAAATCATTTACAACCATTTCTCCTCGGAACTGAAAGAAGGGAGATGGTGGTGCTTTTGCTAATAAGCCATTAGTTCCATTTCCAGAAGCTGCTTCTGAGAGCGAACCCAGGGGAGGAAGGCACTCAGGACCAACGTCAGGAAGTCTGGTCAGACTTGTGAAGCCGGAGCCAACCTTCTCTGTCTGTTCTTCTTTGAGGGTGCAATCCACAGTCTTCTTTGTAATCTGAGGTTCGGTTTTTATAGTGTCACTACTAAGAGAAGAATCTTGAAGAGAACTTGAGTGTAGTTCTTTTCCTGGAATGGGAAAACTGTGCACAGGAAGGGGCAATGTATTATCTGACTTAAGAGACTGGCTACTGTCTACACTAATGGCATTCTGATCAAGATTTTTTGAAAAAGTCTCCAACTGTCCTGGATCTGCAGTGTGACTGCTACCAGAGCTTGAATGTTCTGGGCAAGTATTCAGAGCAGAAGGTAGAGCATGGCTACTATTGGAAGTGTCATCATTCTTCTTTGCTTTGTGAACATTTGCATATATGGGGACATCTTGCATTTTTGATAAGAGGATCTGTAACTGTTTAAGTATCCTCCTACGGTGGCCTGTAGGTGATATCCCAATTTTGTGTAGGAGGCTGTCATTTATTGATGCACAGTCCTTCACAGTATTAAGACCAAAGTCAAGGAAATGTGACAGATACTGCTCCAAATTGATGCTCATTAGGAAATCTTTGATATCAACATTTATTTCACTGGCTGAGGTCATAATGGTGGCTTCATTACTAAGACGATTTATAAAAAAAGAGCAATAAACAGTATGATTTGATCCACACAACAGAATGTATTTTTGAAGACTTGATTCTTCCTCTACCACTTGACAACAGAAAATTTTTTCTCCACAGAAACTCTTATTTGTTTAAACCTGAAAAAAGAAAAAAAAAGAGAATTTATTACCATATTTTCATTATTAAAATCTAGTTTGGCCTTAGAAAGTTTCTCTGAAGAAAAACAACAGAAATTAAGATAACGTTCACTCATTAAAATCTTAGAATGTACTGGAAGTACAATGTTGAGTCAACAGAAAATAAATGTTAAAATAGACAAAAATTATATTCACACAGATTAAAAGAAAGATTTATACAAATACAGCATGAGCATGAGTTAAAATTTCACCTCCTATGTTAGGGAGGGAGTCATGAAAGCTGATTCTATGGACCTTTATGGAAGAGCTTTAAATGACCTACAGAAAAGGCATTTAAAAGAATATTAGCTGAAGGGAATAGTATCAGAATGAGACTACTAGATTCTATTTTAAAAGCTGGTTAATGTGATACAATAAGACCATGACCATGGTCACTATTTTTTTGACTGGGCACAAGTCTACAAAGTAAGAATTTTACACAGTCCAAGGAGACTGTGTACGGTCCAAGGTGGTACCATACATTAGGTGTTAGGCTTTCAGCTGAAAGCTCAATGGGTTCAAACCCAATAGCCAATCAACAAGAGAAAGCAGCAGTAGCCTGCTTTGCTTAAGATTCGTAGCCTCAGAATCCTGATGGAGGATTACTAGAAATCAAGATCAACTCAGCGGCCACAGTTTTGGGCTTAAGGTTCATACTGCCTGGACAGGGAGCTTTGGTGACTCAGTGGTAAGGAAGTGCACTGCCGACACAAAGGTAAGTCGCTTGAATACAACGGCCGCTGCATGGGAGAAAGCTGGGCAATATCCTCCCATGTGATTTACTGCCTCTGAAAACCCGTTGGAAGATCAGCTACAAGTTGGTCACAGCTCAACAGTACACAACAACAACAGCTGTCTGATGGGGAATTCTGGCGTCCTAGTGTGTGAGGACTTGTGCTATCAAGTAGACGACAGGCGGGACAAATTCACTAGCTGCTCTCATGAACTTTAAGATGAGCAATTTACTCCTTTGAATTTACAGCTTCTGAAAATACTGAGGGTCTGCCTTGAGTTGGTACCAACTCCATGGGCCATGAATTTGAAGGTGGTTTTTGGTTTTAGTTTTGGTTTTTACTGTCTGGGCTGTAAGCAAACAATAAACTGTAAGGTCAGGCACAGGACTTACACTTAATATTAAATACCTTTCAAGTGAGTCTGTTAATATGTTGCCACAACTGATGGCAAAAAAATGTGTTTCTAAGCACAGTCATCAATTTAAGTGTGTGGCAACGTGTTAAACAATATCCACAATATGGCATTAAAATAAAATAAAAAAATAAAAACGCTGTATCTTGTATCCAAAGTGTTAGGCAAACTGTTTAAAATGTAGCTAAATATACATGTTTCCCATGCAGAGCATTTTCTTTCAATGACTCTGTAAGAAGTAGTCCATATACCTGCCTGGAGAAGAAAGAGAGTGAAGAAAACCAAAGACACAAAAGAAGCAATTAGTTCAAAGGCCTAAAGGCTCACATGAGCCACAACTTCCTTGAGCCTGAAATGGGAAGAACTAAAGGGTGCCAGCTGCCACTGACAATCATTCTGACTAGGAACATACCAGAAGGTCTTGGTCAAAACTGGAAAGAAATGTAAAACTCAAATACAAAATAAAGATGAGAATTACTGTTTTGATAGAGACTGGAGGAATCCCTGAGTCTACTGTCCTAAATTACCCTGCTAACTTAGTATGAAGCCATTTAGGAGGTCATCTGTCAAACAAACAACAGACTGGATTACATAATAAACACCTGCAGCCCTAAGAAATATGTTCTTTAAACAATTAACTAGGTTGTGGTTGTTATGTGCCCTTGAGTCCAGTAAGACTGACAATGACCCTATCTATGAACCATGGAATTGAACCTTGCCCTATGTTATACCGTTCTCATCATCTTATAAAGCCCATGGTTACAGACACTATGTCAATTCATCTCACTGAAGCTCTTCCTCTTTTTCACTGACCCTCCATCTTTCCAAGCAAGATGTCCCTTTCCAAGGATTAGCCTCTCTTAAATATGCCCAAAAGTGTGAGATAAAGTTTCATGATCCTTGCTTCCAATGAGTACTTTGGCTCTACCTTCCCCAAGATAATATTTATTTGATATTTTGTCAGTCCATGAGATATTCAGGACTCTTTTCCAAAACCTCAAAGACATCAGTTTTCTTCATCCTTAGTCACTGTCCCAACTTTCAGATGCAAAACAAGTAAATGAAAAAAACCATGGTTTGACTCCTATACACCTTGGTCTTTAAACTGACATCAATGCTCATTAGAGAGGTCCTTCACAGCAAATTTACCTAGTGCAATACACCTTTTATTTCGTTGGCTGCTGGTGCCAAAGGTGTTGATTGTAGATTCAAGTAAGACAAAATTGTTAACAACTTTAATCTTCTCCATCTATCATGATGCTATCTATTGGTCCAGTGGTAAGGATTTTAGTTTTCTTAATGCTGAAGGAAATAAAGAACAAATTTAAGCCTGGAGTTGCAATACTTAAGGAAGCTCTGGGCAGAATACTGAATGGTCCAGGAAGCATTAAAAAAGATGGAAGGAATATACAGAGTCACTGTACCAAAATGAATTGGCAGACAACACAGAAGAATTTCATGAAACAATGTATGAGCAAGAGCCTGTGCTAAAGAAGGAAGGCGTTCAAGCTGCTCTGATAGAATTAGCAAAAAACAAGGTCCCAGGAATCGATGGTATATCAAGTGACATATTTCAACAGATAATGCACTAGATTTGCTCACCAAGTTGTGCCTAGAAATCTGAAGGACAAATCGGGAGGATCCATATTTGTTCCCATTCCAAAGAAAGGTGATCTGATAAGAGTATAGAAATTATCAAACAATATCACTAATATCATATGGAAGGAGGATTCTGCTGAAAATTATCCAACAACTACTGGAACAGCACATCAACAGAAAACTGGCAGAAGTACAGACTGGGTTTAGAAAAGATTGTGGTATTAGGGATATAACAGCTAGTGTTAGATGCATCTTTGCTGAGAGCAGGGATTACCAGAGGAATGTCTGTATTTCATTGACTACTGTGTGGACCACAACAAAATGTGGCTAACTCTGAGAATAACAGGAATCCCAGAGCACTTGATCAGGCTTATGTAAAACATATACTTGGATGAGGAGGAGGTTGTCAGAACAGAGCTGGGGGAAACTGCATGGTTTAAAATTAGGAAGGATGTATGCCAGGGATGTGTCCTATCTCCTACCTTTTCAACCTATATACAGAACAGATTATCCAGTAAGTTGGGCTCCATGTGGAGAAATGTGGCATGAAGATAGGAAGAAGACTAATCAACAATCTGTGTTACAGAGATGACACAACCCTGCTTACTGAAACTGAGGAGG